AGCCACTGCTCCCAGTTCTGTGTCACCAACAGACTTGCTGAGAGTGCGCTCTCTGCTCCCCACAGTGGGGGTCAGCCATCACCTCCATGCACCCCGGCAATGTGGGTGCAGTGGAAGCCATGCCAGCTGGTGTGGGAGGGAGGTTTGGCGACAGCACATGTGGGACTAAAATAACATAAGGCAGGGACATATGTCATCACCTGCTACATCTTCAGCGATGGCTGATGTGCCAAAGACTGCTGACAGCTGTCTCTGGAGGTTTTCATCACGTCTTTGGGGTGTGATGCTTGCTGGTGCTGTCAGCCAGCCTGTCATCACAGAACATTTATTCTGTAGGCCACATTTGTGATCCAGGCACACAACTATATGAGAATATCACTTTTCCTATTTTTTTAAATGATGTTCATTTTTAAAAGTGAGAAAGAACATTTCATTTCCACAAAGCCTTGCTTTGACTCACGGTCGTACACTCTGCGGATGCCCACTTGCTCACAAACACCTCTGTCAAAGAGAATCATGAGGAGCCTGGGCACAGCTGCCAGCTGCATCAGGCACAGCATGTATGACAGATGTCTAGCAAAGGAGCAGCAATTCCTTAGCAAAGCTAATGCTTTGATTTTTATAAAGTGTGGGAGGGTTTCTTTCGCTGGTTTGGGGAGATACTTCTTCCGCTCTGTTTCAAGTGATCTCTGTAGATCAGGAGATCTGTAGGATGCTTCTCATCAGGAGCAGAGGTTTGCTTGAATTCCTGTGTGTGGAGACCTACAGGACCACAACTGAAGCAGGAAAGAGGTGCTGTTCTTCATTGCTCACCTCAGAGGTGTTTTTTGGCAAGTCACTGGCCCTTTGTTTATGGCTGAGGTCAGGACAGCCTAAGTGCATCTATTAATTATGCAGTGGCTGGGTCCACGTAAAGGAGTGTGGGTATGTACTGTCTGTGTGAAAGTGATTACTATTGCCAAGAGGTTACGGGGCAGTGATTTTCCCTGCTTTTCCTCTCCTCATTTGCAGGAGCAGCCTGTAGAGCTTGGTGGGTATGCCTGCGCAGGCTTAGTCCCAGGTGGCTCTGAAGAGAGAAGATGCAGTGGGGGAACCTCTGGGTTGCATGATTTTTGTTGGTTGGTGGGCTGCTTCAAGGTGTCACTGGTTTTCCCGGCAAATGTTCCGTATAATCTTAAGTCTGCTGCTTCTGCCATTTATGCTTTTTTTTTTTTTTTTACCATAACAACTGTCTAATTCTGCTTCAGCTAACAAAGCTTACGTCTCTGATAGGTACACAGCAACATACCAAAGGTCAGACTGTGGGCCTTAAACATTAGCCTCATTGTTCTAACTATGCCAACAAGGCAGGCCAAGATGTTTCCCTGTATGTTTTATGTTAATAATTGTGGAAAATGCCACTGTAAAAGCACTTTGGAAAAGTACTCTTTGCACAGGACAATCTTTGCACCGACTGTGCAATCCTAAGTGTATAAAAGCTTCACCACACCCACCATGATTCTCCAGAGACATGAGAAGCATCTGAAGGTACTGTTATTTATCTGTGGCCTGAGTCCCATGCACAGCCTGGCATATAAATCAAGTTTTTCCAGTGTCTGTCAGACTTCATTCAGGAGGATTACTCTCTCCAGCTGTATCACTATTGGATGGTTTTCCTTTTATCTCCTCGGGGCTTTCCAAGCTCACCAGCATAACACTTTGTGACTTAATCTTTGCATGGGCTGCTGAAAACCACAGATATGTGAAAAAGACTGCAAAGTTTATACAGAATAAAGAATTGTTAGATAGATATTAATTTTCAATTACTGTTTTATTCCCATGATTGAAGACACAGTCAGGTTTTGTAATTCAGGATTCTGGTTGCAAAATGTGGTAATGGGCAAGGGTATGTATTTGAATTGCTAGGGAACTACTTAATCTGCCTACTATTCTGCGGTCTAAATTTAAACCAGAGGGAGGGTAGGTCTGTGATTCATTGGCAGCTGTTTGTTGTATGGAAATAAATCCCCTTCCTTGAAAAGTGCAGATGAAACAAGAGTATTCCTTTGGAAAATTGTGGGAGCAAAGTGTGGAGAAGTAGCTAATGCATTTTATCCCCAGTTTTGTTTAGGCTAAAGGAAATTAGATTACTTTGCTTTTCTTTCATTTCTGAACACTTCCACCTTCTGAAGAGGCACAGGACGAAGGAAGGTTCCTGTGCTTTCAGTAGGTGTAGCTGGCAGTGAAAAGTGACTGCGCGGCAGCTGTGTCAGTCTTCCCAGATGTGACATACTGTCCTCTGCAAGCCAAGCTGTTAATCTGAAAAAGAAACAGAAAAGAAAAGGAAACCATTTAGCTTGGAGTAAGAAAGCCAGGTGTAGAAAGACAGCAGGAGTAACCAAGTCAGGCAAAAATAACAGAATAACCTCCCAGGTGAACATGAAGCACAGGAGGCGTGGGGACAAGAGGAGCCTCAGGAAGGTGGGGAGCAGCTCCTCTCGGGAAGCCTCGTACCTGTGCCCGCTTGCGGAAGGCCTCCTGTGCAGCCTTCTTGTTCTCACTTTTGCCCACCCATGCTGCCAGGGCAGAGGCTTGCAAGGCTCTCCCGTAGGAAAAGGTCAGTTTCCAAGGCTTGGGCAGAGGGGACTGATTCATAGCGTTCAGGTTGACAGAAGCCTCCTCTTCACTCTGGCCTCCAGAAAGGAAGCAGATGCCTGCAAGAAAGAGGTTTTGAGGCTTAGAAATAAAGTGCTCCAGCCACCGCAATCCCTGACGTTTACGTGTCAGAGGAGTGGTCATGTCAGATGTAGGAGCAAAGCCAGCAAGAGTGACAGTGTGAACGGAAACATAGGAAAGAACTGGGAATCACCAGGAACGGCAGCAGGAACGGTGCGGAGAAGAGCAGTGACGGTTGCTACAGCTACATCCTGAGGGGTGTACTTCTTGGGGCAGGAGTGCCCAGCTGTCACCATGTTGGGTTTCAGCAGTGTCCCCTCCAGGTATACATGATGGTCATTCAAGGCCTTGTAGACAGCAGCCAGAACCTGGAAACAGAAGGACTGAGTACAGACCTCTGCTCAAATCTTCACCTCAAGCTGCTGTGGAAAGACAGGCTATTCGTTGGGAGCATGAGAAGATCAAATTGCATTGTGCTTTCCCATGAAATTTATTAAAGGCTGCAAATTTATTGAAGCCGCAGAGGCACCACTGCTTCTGAGGTGACCAGGATACCACTCTTCATAATTTATCAGATCTGTCCCTGCAAAGAGAGGGAAGTGTTTTTGCTGCCAATGCATCTTTTTGAGATCAAGAATGCTTATATTGGCAGTTTGAGTGGAAATCCAAAAGCATGGAGTCTACTCTTGTATTTGCTGTTAACTGATTACTTGACTGGGAGCAACTCATTTTTGTGATGCAGTTATGACACACCTTTTTGGTCAAAACTCTTTGAGATCTGTCAACATACTCTGCATAAGATTAGCTACTGGTATGTGAGGGGGAGAAGGGAGGCAGGAACCTCTTACCTTTTCTGTGACATACTGACAGCGCTGGAGGTCATGGTCTCCATCAGGCAAGATTTCTGGCTCCACAATGGGCACCAAGCCATGCTAAGGAAAGAAAAATAAGGAAGTCCTTGTTGTCGATGCCAGCTTTGGTAGTACTTCTTGCTGCACTGCCTTTCTTCCTCATCTTTCCCCAAGCCAGCTCAGAGACCTGCCTTTCAAGATACCTATCATGTTATAGAACCATAGCACAGTTTTGGTTGGAAGAGACTTCAAGATCATCGAGTCCAACCTTTGGCCTAGCCCTATCAGCACTATTAAACCATGTCTCTCAGTGAGAAGGGGCAGCAGCATTTCAGGGAAAGTAGGTGGAGGGTGTATACCTGCTGGCAGATGCTGGCATAGCGTGCCAACGTGTTGGCATTCTCTTGGATGGCGAGTTCAGAGGGTGTTGTGCTTGTGATCTTCAGCACTGCACGCCACTTGCCAAAGTCAGCACCATCTTTCTTGTACTGAGCACAGCGCTCAGCCAGTCCGTCCAGCCCTGCAGGGGAAAGAAGAGTGCTTGACCGAGAGCAGTTCTTCAGGATGTAGCTCTGAAAAGTACCATGACACCAGACAAAGCTGCGACTCAGGTGAGTCACCCCATAGCATGTGCTGCAGCAGTCATAGCTTGGGCTCCTGGGATCTCTCCTCACCTTGGATGGTTGTTTCTCCATTTGTTCCTGCTAGAGGTGCTGTGCCTTTATCCAGCTGAGGAGAAAAGAAAACAGGAAGGGTTACAGAGAGATGGAGATCAGTCTCACCCTTACCTTCTTGCCCGCAGCTGGTCTGTTTTTGCAGACTGACTGTGAGTAAAGTATAAGGCTGAACATGCTAAGGGTGCAAAGGGGGGAAATGTTCAAACAAAGGTGAAGAAAAGGAGTGAATTGGCTAAGAGGAAGAGGGCAGTATGTAAACGGCTGCAGGGAATGGCTCGAGAGCTCTGTCAGATACGGAAAGAACTAGATTTAGGGATTTAATTGCAGTGAATTGTGAGTAGATGGGAGTTTGTGGATAAAAAATTTTGCATCGCATGCAAATGTGCCCTTGTTCAGTTGTGCAAAATGCAGAGAATGTGACAGACAATCACGAATGTGACTTTAAAAAGAAGCACATGCCACACACCCACACAGACAGGAGAGAGTGCAGCCCCATATATGATTTTCATTGGGAATGGGGTTTGGAGTATGCTGCCAGCCAGACATGTACAGATACTCACCTTTATTCCCACTACAATGCCTTTTTCTTTGATGAGGGCTGGAAATGGCTTTCCACTGCTGTCTTTCTGATAGAGGGTCTCGTGGAAGAGGATCACTCCCCCGATGCTCTGGTTGATGGAAGCATCTGAAGAGAAGAGGATCTCACGAAAGGCACGGCGATTCTCCTCTGTGTTCTCCACATTAATCCTCTGCAGCCTGTTCCCCATGGTGCCTAGCAAGGTGGACAAAAGTCGGACAGTGTTAGGCTTAGCTGGCCTCCCAGTCCCATTATGCAGTAATGAACTGGGGCTTCAGTTCAGAGCTTATTTTGTCAGCTGTTGCTGATATAGCCATAGCCCTGCCTGCCTGAGTTGTTCTTGCTCAGTCAACAGGTTTTAAGCATTTTTTACTTACTCCACTGAGTTCAAAGATGAAACAAAATTAAGAGAAAAAGTCTTGGATACTGCTAATTGGTTGACACTCAGAACTCACCTACTGATTCATCTGCAGCTAAGATCCCCTTTCCTGAAGCCACAATCCGCTGAGCAATGTCTGAAAGAGCTTTCTTCTGCTCTGGAGACAGTGCTGGGAATTGGTGGGTCATGGTGGCTTGCCTGTGGAAGAAAATTACTGTTAGAAGCTGGGGGAGACTGTATACACAAACTGTGGACCAGAGATGCCACTCAGGTATTTCTGTTGGAGAGCTCTCAGTGCTCGTCTGGGAGGTGTTATCACAGGCACATGCCCAGAGATCCATTTGGCTTCTTGGCTTGATGTGTCTGGCAAAATCAGAAAAGAAAAATGCAGAAGCCACATCCTAACACATCAATGCAGGAGCAAAGTGGAAAAGACTCTGCACTTCACATGGACTTGCTCAGAGGCTAAAGGAGAGTCACTCAGTCATAAAAACACCAAGCTAACAAGTTTGCTAATTGCAAACTCCACAGACTTCTTTGCAAAGCACCTATGACTTTTTGTCCCAATCAGAAGAACTGACAATTACCATACTGCTTACCTTTACTCTTTTCGTAACAATGCCAATCTCCCATTCCCGGCCTTCACTGGTGGTATTTGCTACTTTGTCTAGTTGATTTTCTGTCCCCACCCTCCTTTGTAATTCTTTCCCCACTGTGGCTGCTGTCAAGGGTTAGGGTTGGGCCAACCACTAAACAAATGAAAGATGCTAAGACTCCCTCTTCCTGCCCAAAGAGGAAGAGAAAAGGGAATAAGGCAGAGAGACTTACAGTTTGGAAAATAAAACCAAAACAGCTTTAATGAAACATAGTACTAATAAGAAAATAATGGAAATAATGAGATATATACGCAAATATATACAAAACTGATATCAAACCCAACACTCATCTCCCCTCGCCCAACAGTAATCGCCACTGATCCTGCACAGCAGGCAGACATGGGGGAAGTCCCGGGATTTTACTTCTTTGTGACCCCTCTTACTTCCCGGCCCCCTCGGCGTTGCACACAAGAGCCACCAGTGTCCTTGGTCACTACAGGAGCAATTATAAGCAAGAGCCTTTCTGCATCCCAGTCCCAGGCAGTGACTGCAAACATCAGGTGTTCTCACTGCTGGTAGCAGGCACTGTCTGCAGAAACATGCTGCTGACTTCAGAAAGTGGAGTCTTAGATGAGACTGAGCTGAAAAAAAATCACTGAATAGAATTGATCCTGTTTTAGTTCAAAACAGGACATCTGCTTTCAGAACTGTGGTGTTGCTTACTCAACACAAGATCTGAGGGGTTAGAAGAATTCACCACCCATTTCTACCTTTTCAGCTGTGGCAGAGGGTTACCAGCTGCTGATAACTATCACCTAAAATCCAGGCTCTGTCTGGTTATTAAAAAATGCTTGGTCTTATTAAAGTTTTGATTATATGACATTAAATTACAGTTGCTCACATCATCTGATTCGTCCAAGACGCTTTCGTAGGTGTATAAGCCTGAGACGAAAAGACACTTTTCCCTCTGTCAATATGCTACTGCTAAAGCAACACCCAGTTTTTTATCAGCAGTGGTAAATTCGTGAGACGTATCATTAAATACAGCACAAAAGATGCCAACATGAACGGAGTTCTGCACACCATAACAAATGGTGCCAAAATTTTCTGGCCTCAATAATATCACAATACTGTGACAGCGATAAATCCGCATCTCTGATTTCTAGTTGAACGTGTTTCAGTATTGATAAAGTTGTGCAAGATTCAGATGGTGATGTCTCCCAGTACAAATGCAGCATTGTGAATTGTTTAGGACTAGAATTCATCCTACACAAACTATCAACAGTGAGTCATTCTAGGTTTAAAGGTAATTTGAAGGAATGTGTGATGAAGACTGCATCAAATGAGGGAGGGTTCCCTCCTTTTCCAAGCACTGAAATGCCTTGCTGTGGTCCTGCAGAAGCAGGCTTTGCAGAACTCCTCTCTCTGTATGTCAGCCTGTGGCCAGAGTTTTGGGAAGCACCCTCTACAGTGGTGACCACAACTCTACCACTCCTGTTCAGCCTACCTAAAAGAACTTAAAGAGCTATGGTTTATGCTGCATAGCTAGTTAAGTTCACCTGTAAGCCCCCTTATCCTTCACCTCCTTTCTGTGTCTGATATGTCTCTCAGAAATAGGAAACTGGCTTGTTATTATGATTACTGTATTAACAGTTTGTGCAGTAAGCACTTCAGTCAAAACCACAGCATCATTAAATAAACTGCTGTGCAAAATGATGAGGAATCAGTCCCATAGTTCACAGTCGCTGTGGAAAAGACTTGAAAATTGTGATCTGGCAAGAATACAATCTTGTCCAAGGCCAAAGCTAATGAACTGCTAAATCAGTAATGGGATTTCAGAGTTGCAGTTTGGAGGTATGCTACAGCATGGGTAGGTCTACCCAGATAATCTTTAATCCAGCTAGCTGAATTACAAGACCATCAGTCACTCCGGTTATTTTGCTGTATTTTCTCTCCAGCAATGAAATTAGCAATGACACTAATGACTGTTGTACCTTACTTGTTTCTGGTGTTTGCATGAAGATAGCAAAGAGACAGTTATCACTCAAAACCAGCCTGTAGAGCAAGTTGCCAAAATACATAAATAGGAGTCGATAACGTTAAGACCAAGTAAGTACTCTGAGAGACTGAAACAAGAGTGTAGTTCCACACTGACAAATTGGAAGACTGCAGATTAGTTCCAGTCTACGCAAGTATCTCACTCAGTGTGAAGGGGAAGGTGGAGATTTGTGAGAAGGCTCCCCAAAATGATCTGTATGGCTACAGCAAGTGGTTCCCAGCTACCCTGCTGAGCTACAAGGACAAATAAAATGCACAGTGTTCCTAACTGAAATGGTGAAGAATTGAGTGAGAAAGAGCAGTTGTAAAGCTAATGATAGCCCTAAAGTCCAGAATGCTGATTTAGAACTTTATTTTTCTATGTTTTTTTCACGAGGAGCATAATTTCTGAGCATCTTCCCCACCAGATTCAGAAAGGGTGTCTCTGCTGTACGGTACTGCTCTAAGCATTTAAAGAGGAGTGGAGAAGTCTTACACTTCAGTAACACTTCATGCAGCTGCCTTGTAAAAACTAAGTTCCCAGCACATCTACCGAAAATGTAATGCTCTACCCCTTAAAGATCTGGGTATGTTACCTTAGAGGTTCTGCAGAAAAAGAGTTGTGCCCACGCTGCCAGAGCTGGGCAGCTCATTTCCTTCTTCCAAGAACAAAGCCTATTTATCTTATTATTCTGCTTTATTTGTTTAACCTGATAACTTCTCCAGGCATAAAAAAACCTCGAAGAAACTATCTTCTCAGTGATGGTATTTAGGAGTTGTCCCACCACTATAGTTTTTCAAGAAATTTTATTTTTATTTACCCATTTAGGCCGGGAGCTAGTATCAGTGTCACAAGCTCATGTGTTTTCACATAGATTTGACATTGCACGACTACAATACGTTCTCGTTGTGATAACTGCTTAGATAACATTTTTAAAAGGAGGAAGAAAAACCAAAATAATAAAACTGCACAGAATGCACAAAAAATGCAGCTTTATGGCTGCCTTGAGTGTTTGTCAGGCTTCAGCAGCTCCTTAAGCAAATGAAGTTCTTTGCTTGGTCTCCTCCTGTGACCAGCAGGAGGTACGGGTGCAGAGAAAGGGAACAGCACAGCTGTAAAAGTAAATATGGCACTGCTTAAGCCTCAAGATTTTCTGATCTACCATACTGAAGGACTGCAGGGGAAGTATCTTCACGGATATCAGCACAAGCACTGCACCCTGTTAATATTAATAGTGAGAACCAAAGGGCAGAGGCAAAACAAACAGCACAAAGAACAAACAGTTACATTCCACTTCAGGTCATCTTAGAAACATTAATATTTCACTGGTGTCTTTTTCTTTCCCACCACCTCAAGTAGCTAGCATCTTCTAGTCTTACAGAAAATCGCACCTGAGTCCTGCTTTGCAGATGGGAAATTAATCTGTAAGTTTTTGTCTTGGGTCTCTTCATTGCCTTATTTTATAAAATTGGTTCTAAAAGTGCAGGACCAAATTCTCGACATAGAGTTTGTATACCATGCTTGTAGCTCTTCCCATGTAATTACTTGTAAACACAGCCCTTCAATGTCATCTCTGACAATCCGCAATACACACCACACAGGCATGTAGTTGCACTGTGCACACAAGAGATTCTGCTTCCAAAGGGCAGGGTTTGAAGAAGAAAAAGTTGCATATACAAACATACAGTTGATAGGAGAATGAAAAATTTTCAGTCACATGTAGGCACAGTGTTGACTCAATTTATTCCTCATTTCCACTTGTATACTTAGGAGAGACAGACACATCATGAGTTACATGACTCATTACAGTGGATAAATCTAGTTGCTGGCCTCACCTCTCTACAATGCTTCATTAGAAAGCTGTTTCTAAGCCAGTCTGATAGCTTGGACATTGGTCAAACTGAGGCACGGACAGCTGGGCAAGCCTGACAGCTGGGCAAGCCTGGCCCCGTCCTGCTGATGGGGCACATTCCTACCTAGCCTGCAGAGGACACCAGGCTGCCAGGACTAGCGGATACACTTGATTGCTGGGCAGCAATCCAGAGGAGCCTGGACGAGGGGCAGGAAGGGATCAACAAGAGCACCATGAAGAATGTCCGGGCACTGCCTGGGGGGCAGAGCCCTGGCAGCGATTCCACCAGCGCTGGTGGGACGGGGGAGCAGGTCCAGGGACCTTGTCAGGCATCAAGCTCAACAGCAGCCAGCAACAGCGGCCAGCAGCATCCCGTGTGACCAGGGGTCGGTCCCCCAGAGAGCCAGAGGAGGTCACATCTGGGTACTGCATCCAGCGCTGAGCCCCTGCAGCACAGGAAAGACAGTGACAAACTGGAGTGAGTTCAGCACCCGCCACCGAGAAGGTCGGAGGCTGAAGCACTGGCTCTGCGAGGAGAAGGCTGCAGAGCTGAGTCTAGTTTAGTTCTGAGCAGAGATGGCTTCAGCGGCAGTTCTCAGCAACTCCCAGTACCTACGGAGTGGTGATCGAGGAGGCAGAGCCAAGCTCTTCACAGCAGCGTGTGACAGGAGACTGAGAGACAAGCATAAGCTGAAACTAGAGAGATTCGGACTGAATACAAAGATTTATTTTTCACTATTGGCACAGACAAGCAGTGGAGCAGGCTGTGGTGTTTCCATCCTCAGAGGCTGTCAGGACCCACCTGAATAAAGCCAAGAGCAGCCTGATCTGAGCTTGTGTCTAACCCTGCTTTGAGCTGGAAGTTGGACTGCAGACCTCCCAATGTCCCTGTCAGACTGAGTGATCCTGTGGCTCTGTCCGAGTGCTTGCTTTGGGGTGTTGAAGAGGAAGCGGTGCCTCTGTGTGTATGAAGGAGCTCTGAGAAAAGAACAGGCTGTTTCTCCCTTCATCTCTGCAGTGGGAGTGAAGGTTTCAGTTACAGCCAAATGTTTTGTTTCTGGGTTTTAAAATGTGTCAGGGGTATGGGAAAAAAGAGTCATCCAGGCTTCTGCCATCTAGAAAAAGCAGATGTTTTTGACTGATATACTAATTTCACTATCTTGATAGGTTCTTTGGGACCTGTACGACAGTAAATTGCCTGGTTGTTTTTTGCTCTCTCCTGTGAGCGTGGGGACAAGGAGTTTTTTCCATCTTCATGCTCTATATAGAGGCCTTGCTGGAACATCCTCTCTAAAGTGGATAGGAGTATGTGAGACCTGCAGTTCCCTGTCCCGATTCCCGCATTAGCCTCAGGGCTACACTGAAGCCCCCATTTTATCTCTCTGGCAAGGCAGAAACAAGGTTAGGTACTGAGGGACCCAGCCTCTGCTGTCAGTGCTCTCTGCACTTCTGGAGCACTCATGATGGCTAGAGATGGCTGAGATGGCAAGAAAATAGTTTTCTGGAAGTAAATGTGGTCATTAGGATGAAGCTGCTTCTCACTCAGGGCTGTGCTATTCTCAAAGAAAGGAAAAACGCTGTCAGACTTGCACCAGAATTCAAGTCTTGTCGTGCCAGCAGGGGAGGCTGGGGGCAGTCGTGGTGAGTGTTTCAGGTGGGCTAAGTAGTTTCATGTGCCAGGCACATGGGGTAGATGAGAAAGTGGTGGGGAATCACAGATTCAGTGAAGATTTGAGTTTTGGGAAGAATTGCCTGAAGCTGGCAGTTCACAGCTTGAAAGATGACAGCCTGATGCAGGAGCGGTTTTATTCCTGTGCCACAGACTGCGTTACATGCGCCTGCTGAAGAATCTTGTGATTCAAATCTACTGCAGTAATACCTCAGACGAAGCTGCACAATGAACACCCATAATTACACGTGTGTCAGCACAGGTGTTTGTCAGGACCAGCTGAATTCTCCAGTAATTCTCTTTGCAGAAAGTAAGTTTATGTACTCCACAAGCACAAACAAGCACATACAAAAAAAAGCATCAGAAAGCAAGGCAGGTATGTTATTGCTCTAGGCCGCTTACACTAAGGATTCACTCACTCCAGGAGTTCTGAGTGACTAAGCTAAGTTAGAAAGCCTGTGCTAGCAGCACATGGGTCACACTGGAAAGCAGTTCCTGGAACAAAAAAAATTAAAACAAACCAAAAACCAACTCCCCAAGCCCATTTCAGATAAACACACCGTGTCTCAGCTGCAGATAAATGTACTGTCTTTATAGTTTAGAAACAAAATTATTGTACTTACTGACCTGTGTGTGGACACGGCCTCTGCTGCTACAAGCTTCTGGTGCGGTGGTTGCAAGTGAAGAGACCCAGTCCTTCAAATCACTAACTTTTATAAAATTCTTGGCAGGTTTTTTTTTGTTGTTTTTTTTTTTCCCCTCCCCTTCTTCATTCTCCCTCCCTCCCAGCCTGGTTGGGGAGATGTCATTGCCTGAGGTCAGTCATTGGCTGTCAGGCCACAGCCGTACACAACCAATGCGACCCGGTCTCCTCCTGGCGTTCCTCCCTTTTGCCCTCCCCTGGGTATATAAGGCCATTCATCAGCAGTGAAATCGAGCTGGTTTACAGTTACATCAAATTATTCCTCCTCTTTCTGAAACAGACTGAAAATAACTACAATGGAAATTGTTTCCAATGATCTTAGGCATAACTTTCCGTTTAGGTTAGATCTTCTGGAAGCGTGTACTTAGGAAACTGCACAGTGCAGGCAGGAAGAGAGAGAACAAAATGCAGAAACAATGCAACACATCCATAATCAAAATGAACTACTCTCATTTCAGTGGCTTCCTAATTTTCCTTAACTGAAAATTTAGCGCAGAAACATATTTTCCAATTAGTATATGGAAAGGCAAAATGCAATGCTACCGTATTGGGGATCGGGAAGCTGCAAGTTCTGATTTCCTTTGCAGTGTGTTTGTGAGAATGATGGTTAAGGAATATGCCCACACTGAGATCCACAAGCGCAAGCCAAATTTTCCACCAAAATCCCATTGAAACACCTACCCACATTACAGTGACACACAAACTTCTCAGCTGCCAAGCAAAATTTTTCTGTGAAAAATGCTGATGCTCTATAAACAGTATATCAGCATTCCGGTTTATATGAAATCTCACTACAGCTATTCACCAAATCCAGGCAGATAAACTTGTTATTTTAAAATTTTTTTTATGCCCACAGTGCAGGTCAGCCCTGCTGGGGGGAAGTACAGCACAGGTACTGTTGGACAGACACCATCCCCTCACCAGCAACACTCTCTGTGACCTTGGACATTAGTGTGTCTTTTCCACAAGGACCCAGTGTTTGCCTGAAGAATGACGTAGTTTCTCCATTTGTTTGGCTTGTGTAGTAAAACCTTTAGCCTTTACATGGTCACAGTGAAACATGCGATTTTTCCTCTCTTCATCAGGGCACTTCCTCCCTGAGCCTGTCTCTTCTAGACCTGCGTGCCAAGCTCAGTGTATGTAGGAAATCTTAACAGCTTGTGTGCTGCACTCCATGACAACCAGCAGAGAAACCTCTGAAAAAGAGGATGATACAGTCCAGCTAAAGCCCCTGTGCTTCTGTCGTTTTCTTTTCTTTAACCTTCTCCTTCCTGATCTGTATGTTTTTGTTGAAGAATGCTGTGCCACATAGTGTGGACATAAAGCCTTCCCTGCTTTACAGTGTTTGCTTTATATTTCATTTCTCCTATCCTAGCAGAAAAAATAGCCTCATGGTATGTTAAAGTTTCTACACTGCTAACAGAGGCATATATATGGCTTAAAAATATTTTTGACTAAATGCATTACCTAAGACCCTCTTGGGACCAAGAAGGTGTCATACTGATGCTCTTCTTCAGGGCCACAGAGAAAATCAGAGTTTGAGCCCCATCATTCCTGGTTTGGATAGAAGTTGTCCCAGATAGGAAAGCACTTGGAAGTGTTTCTTTCCTAGTGTCATTTGTGATACCATCTGACAGTCTATTGGAGAAAAGCTGGGTGAAGTCTTCCTGAAAAAAAGTGCTGTGTGACACTTAGAAACCACTATAGATAATCCCCTGTAGCACACCTTGCATTCTTACTTCTTTCAGGAGTGTGTATAGGTGTGTGTATATATATATATGTACAAGTACATGTACATCTATATATCTATATCTATATATGTACTTCCAGGTGGGTAAAGGCTAGTTATGTGCATTTCTAGTTCTAAGCTAATATTTAGCCCTTCAAGCAGAACTGCAGGTCCTAGAAGAGATTCTGAGGACTGAGGAGAAAAGTGAATGGAGATGATGGTTAACTTCTGCACTTAATTTAGGAGTGGGAGCATTTTCAGGCAAGAATAGGGAATAAGCAGTCATGCTAGATAACGTGACTGTGAGGTTCAGTACTACTACCATGATGCAGACCCATGATGCTGACCATGCTGTGGAGAAATTATTAGTAGACTGATATTGAAACAACATGCTTTCATCATCACAGCTACGTAATCATAGTTTAGAGATACTTCCTCTTCTGAAAACTAGGTTATAGTGGTAGTGTGTACCCTTAAATGACAAGAGGAATAAGCTTGCACCATGAGGGGAATGCAGTGTACTTTCATTTAACTAAGCAACCAACCTATCCCATAAAAAAATACCAAATAATTGCCTGTACTAATTATTCTATGGAAAAATTGGTCTGTCATCCAAGGTGCAAACCTGTCTCATCGAGTTAGTGTTTGAACTCATAGCATTGCCAAATCTCTCAGCTTTCCAGTAACCCAGCTGATTTTGGATATTTAAATTTTTTAAATTTTTTAAGCATTTTTTAGAGTAACAGGATGCAGCCATAAGGCTGTAGCTAGGAAGAGGCTGTGTGCTGGTGTGAGACCCTTGGTAAAAGTGGCTACACCTAGACATCACTTTGACAGAGACTGGATTCGTGGCCATGGACAGAGTTCCCTGTGGGAGTTCAGTTGCCGAGGAAGCAGCAGTTCTTCTCTGCTTCCCTGGGATTCCTCACCCCCCTCTGCCACTGGCATGAGAAGGGGAAAGGGAAAAGTATCGCCAGGAGCCCAGGCTGAGGGTAAGGACAGGGAGAGTGGGAAGGGAAGGCAGTTCAGGCAAAGAACAAGTACTCTCAGTTCTTGGTACTCTTAATAATTTTACAGACTATTGCAGTGATGTCTGATCCACTGTCCTAGTGAAAAGAAATATCTTTCAATAGATACAGACTTGCTAACTATCTTTGGAGAGTTTTGGATGTGTAAGGATTGATTGCTTAAATACATATCTAACCAAGTATGGGGACTGAAGTTTTTCTGCATCTATTACAGTTTTTTTATCCGTTAATGAGAAAGTGGATATAAACAGTTTTGCAATACAAAAATCGTTATAGCTCACTCAAATCTGTGTTTGAAACATCACTGCAAACAAGATGCATAACTAGAAAGAGAGCTTAATGTTCATTGTTCTGTCTTTTGTAGCATGGAAACAGAAGATGGTAGTCAGATATAAAAGAGATGGATAATGTTGAAACACAAGTATTTAGCATTTTATCTCACAAATGTGGCACAGCGTAGTGAATTTTGTATTTGAATGGCTTGGAGATTTTGCTGATGTGGACTTTACATCTGAAATTACCATACAGAAGTTGACAGAAGTAAACATTTATAAATTTTAGAGACCACTAGATGTTGTATTTAGAGATGGCTTGGATTATTATTTAGGTCCAAATTTGTGGGTTTGCTTTCTTGAGTTTGACAGTGCAAGTACTAGATTTTCATAGTGGAAATTAATTTCATTGCTGTCTTTGTTATACCCAGCCTTGCTGACAAAGCATCTGTCTGTTCTGTACTGGTTTTGAATGAAAGCTGTTACTGGATGAAATACATTAAAATCTAGTTTAAAGGCAACAAGTAGAAATTTTGGAACTGCTTACACTTCTGAAGGCTGATGATTGTGGGTTTTCTCTGTATGTTTATAGCAGTGTGATTCCCACACTGATTTTGCCTTTGATTACCCATTTTAACCAGCATTTCAAATGACAATAAGTAAACGTGAAGAGATACAAACTGTACTACATTTGAGAAAGAGAGGAAGATGAAAAAGAAATGGATGAAGCAATTTCAGAGATCACACGGTAACCAAGAGAAAAATAAAAAAATTAAAGTTCCCCTCTGCACTTCAGTAAGTGAAGTACTATTAACCTTGTACTATTAATACAAGATATTCTCCTCTGCTTTTGCATGTGTAAAAAGGATGAGAAGTGGAACGGAAAAAAAACACGGGAAGTTGGAAGAATATCTGAGTACAATATGCATCCACGTGAAAAGCACCTGGCTCTGTGTGCCCCAGGAGAGTGCTGCCTGCGTCACGGGGTTAAAGTCTAATCCAGGCAGACTGGAGTGGAGTCGCGTCCTCATCACCTCCCCACACTGTGCTGGATGTTTCTTGTTTTCTTTGCTCGGCAGTCTTGCTTAACTGCTCAAAGTCCAGCTTGTTCATCCCTATCTAATCAGGGGTATTGTTTATTAAGTGGTTTGTTTTCCCCATTCACCTACAGCCCTCACCCCCAATGCAGAGAGCCTGGCCTTTAGCCCCACTGAAAAAAAATCCCTGCATTTCACCTGTGTGCAAACACGTACATCAGGGAGGGCACGGAGGGTTAGTTGGGCAGAACAGACTCGGGACCACGAATTGCACTGAGGAGACTGCACAGGATTTGCCTGTTCTTCATCCTTTGTGTCTTAAAGCCAGGCTGCCACAAACACTGTGATGTGGAATGAAAACAGGCAAGCATCACATTACTGTTAACAAAACCCGATCTTTGTAATAATTTCAATGGCAGGCTAGCAAACAACAATACAACTTTAAATCAGGCCACCAGTACCAACATTTCTGAGCTTTGCAAAACAGCTGAAATGGGACATGAAGATAAATGCAGTTATGGCACTGGTCTCTGTGCCTTTCTGTTTACACTTTGTTTTTTAAAAAATCAAACAACTGGCTGCTATAATGCGCGACACTTACCTGTTTATTACCTGTTTATTTAAGCAGCACATGGTTCCCCCCAAAAGCACACTTAGGTGGTGCAGGTTAATGTTGGCATACAGTCTGCAAAATGCAAACTACAACAGATATCTGAAATGGACCAGTTTTGCTGAAAAGACCATTGCAGATGTGGTTTCTGCACTGCTGGAGGAACAGGAGGCACCACAGCAGAAATTCAAAGAGAAAGCAGGCACTGAATAATAAACAGCTGGCCAGAGGCTTGCTACCAGGGCAAGAAAACACAGCCCTCTTCATTGTCAACATTTAAAAGTCACCATTGGTTACGCAGCTGGGAATGTGGCACCCACAGTTTGCCACTGAAGAACAAAGTCTTGGAAATACCTGTTGACACTGCTTTTAGGCTATAGGTGCATGGATGAACTGGCTGACGGGGCAGATTCTCTCAAAGCATGAGCTGCAATGACATTGTGGAAATGAAGTTACTCTAGCAACAGAGACACAGGCAGCGAAAAAGCACAAACCATGGAGTACCTAATTCTATATGGATTGTTGGCAGATCTGGGTTTTACTCCAGATTATTCAGACCCATATGTTGGGCCTTGCCATCTGCTGAATTTGGATGCCATGTCTATAAAGCTGGTGTGGAAATACACAGAAAATGCTCTTCATTTCAGGAGAGAAACTGCCGGTGCCTTTGTAGCTACAACTGTCTCCCACAGAAAATTACTTATTTTATTTTGTGAAATGCATAGCCTTTCTATAGAAAAGCATACTAAAGATAAATTTCAGTATTTAGAGCTTGATTTTGTCTCAGGTCCCTTTACTTTATTGGAGAAGGGTCCTTGCAACCTGATCTAATAAGACCTGTTTTAAGTGCGGAATTGGACCAGGGACTTTCAGAGGTCCTTTTCAACCTGACTTGTTGTAAAATCCAGATGCATTTAGATGCATGAGCGCAGAAGGATCTTCCTTGGTGAAAGAGATGGATCTGCAAGTTTGAAAAAACCAAAAAAGTAGCACACAGAAAGAAGAGATGATAGATTTTTAACAGAGAAGTTGTTTATTTGTTAGAAAGTTTGCTTGTAAATATGTTTAGGAAAAAGGTAATTCACCCTGCATCCAGCCAAATTGCTGCTGAAATACTGAGTCTAGAGATTCACAGCTCTTCAGAGGAAGGTTTTTTCCTTCACTTTTCAAATGCAGAGTCTTCTCACTATGACATCGATACCTACTGTGGTTAGAAAATCCTCTTGGTCTTCTAATCTAAGAGAGCCATATAAATTTATGTTTTGTGTTCTGCTGGAATCATGCTTATGTTGGACATGCCTTGGAAGCAAAGGTAGTTTTAGTCTGATTGAATAATTTCCCCTGAATTGTCTTGGACAACAATGCCTTGAGTCCTGCTCTCTTGCCCATCCAGAAGGAATTATTTTCTTCACGAAGCAGTTGCTGTGTTGAAAAATAGTCTCTCAACTATTGTGAATGAACCGACACCCAAGAAAAGTCATATTGTTTGTTTAAAAAATAGTCATAGAATCATAGAACAGTTTCAGCTGGAAGTGACCTTGAAGATCATCGAGTCCAGCCTTAGTCCCAGCCCTATCAACCTGCTAAACTAGGTCCCCCAATGCAACATCCGCTGTGGAACAAAATCCAACAGGGATTAAGAATTCACAGTAACATTTTCTGTTCCAAGGGTAAAGTACAGTTCTCTGACTTTTCGTTTTTAACAAAGCTCGTGGCACAGAAAACAAACAAAAATCAATCCACTTCTGAAAGTTGAGAGGCAGCAGAAGGAACGCTTTCCTGAGATACCACATTGGCGTGGTGGGCACTGGGCAAGTACCTGAGTAATTCAGAAATAGCTTCCAGCAGGCTCAGTAAAAGGAGCACCTCTGCTGTAAAAGTGAATTAAAAAATTATTCCTGAATAATTTATTAACCTGAAAGGAGTTTGTTCTCAATGGATTTATCTGAAATCCTCTCACTGGCAGGTTCAAACTGCATATTGTTTGGTCTCCCAATCAACTTCTCTCATCTCTTATGCCCCGAAAATTGTCTTCTAGTTTAGAAGGGATGCCTCAAATTCACATTCTTAATTTTCAACTCTGAAGCTCAGTGAAATTTTTTACTGTCCCTGGATTTCTGGGATGACAAATCAGGTACTAAAGCAAAATAACTTGAAGACAAACAGAGAGATCGTTTTCCACATCAAAACATTTATTAAGTGCACACAGTTAGTTAGTTTCTTTTCTAAGGTTCCTTTCTTTACATTCCTCCTTTTTCCTTTCCTTGTCCCTTTCATTGTATCTTGCTTTGAGATTTTCTTTATAATAATTAGTATGAATGGATACTCATTAAAAGAACAGGGCATTGTCCTGTATAGTACAAAGGTAGAAAAAGAGTGAAGAAAAAGCTCACCGCACTGAAACATTTGCAGCTGGAGGTGCATAAAAAACCAGGTTGTGTTTGCTCACACACACAGGCACTTAGTGAAATAAATATACACAGACACTCAAGTCCTGCCATCTTAACCACATATAAAGCCTGAGAGTACGTTACCCCACCTGCCACTGTGGGAGCACGCTAATATCTTTGTGGTACTGCCTGTGCAATTTTTCCTCTCTCCTCTGGCAGGAGAGGTGCTTTGCCTTTGGAACAATATGGAATCCATAAGCAGATTTCACTGAGCCTGATTTCCAAAGGTCTTATAAAAGCACCCCAAACGATGATGAAGACAGCAAAGCACTGCTCTGTATTGTGCAGCCATTTCTCAGCTAACTTGCATTTGTGCTGTGTAATTAGTATTGGCTGTGAGTTGACAGCTAGAGGCTTGCAACGCTCTCTGGTTTCCTTCTCATGAGTTCTGTGTCTTTCAGATCTACAGACAGACCCATTAAGAGCTTAAGGCATAAATCACCTAGGAGAGACTGGGGAAGAGAAAATTCAAAGCAGAGATCTTCTTTCACCAAAACAAACAACAACAACAAAAAAAACCCAGTGACCAAAACTCAAAAATACTGCACATGGTTCATTCCAAAATGAAGAATACGATTTCAGAAACAGTTCAGCCAAACTCCACAACATGTAAGTGAATTTTATTCAAAGCCCACTGAAGTCAAGGTGGGCTTTTCCTTAGACACAAACGTTCTTGTGCCACTTTTGATTCCGTATGAGATCTGTCATCTGCATGGTTTTATGTTTAACTGTGCCCACAGCTGTGGTACAAAGTTCCTATCCCAAATGCCTAACAGCCAGGGCACTCTGAGTTAACGGGTCAGTGTCAGTGGCCCCTTGGTGTTTTGTGCTTGCTGCTAGCTGAGTTTCCTGTGGGTATTTTGCTTGCTGCCAGGAGCAGTAAATGCATAACTTGGGCTGAGCCGTGAATTTCAGCCCTGAAGTGAAGCCAGGATCCTGCACAGCAGTGGCACTTCATCTAAGCTTTCCTCCCGCTCTGTGCTGATAGGAAGGCAAATTCACGTTGAGTATCTAAGTCCAATCAGCAACAGATACAGCCTTTTTTAATGACCTGGATCCACTACAAGTAGTGACAATACCAACCAGCACAGCAGTCATCCTGTGCTGTTTATGATGTCTGTAACATGTCAATGAAAATGTGTGTTTGTGACTGGGTTGTGTAACAGCAGTGGCTGTCACTCAGTTTTCCTGTCCTACCTTCAGAGGCGACCTCGAATGAAGCAGCAGAAGCTGTTTTTAAGAGCCTCTGTTCCAGGAAAAAGGAGTGAGAAGGGTGGAGGTACAGATAAGATCTGTAGGAGGAGCCAGTGACAAATAGAGGCTTCATGAAGTCTGAAGAATCAAAGTGAAATTTGTTGTAAAGTTCACATCAATCACTGCTGTTTTTGAAAGCCCTGCTCAAACCCCAGCTTTAAAACAGAGGTCAGAGATCAGACCTCAGTAAGGATGGGGAAGTGAGGACTTTTCCCCCTTACTAGCCTATATTTGAAACACTTCCTTTGTCCAACGTTTCTGTTGCCCTAAGCTGAGGATTTCTGTAACCCTTGTAAAGGAGACAGCACAGCTCTCACAGTGTGAGAGCCTTTCCCCAGGAACGATGAAGGAGAGTAGGCAACCTGCACCTCGCGGTGGCATTCTCCCCTCCCCTCCCATGAGGGGAGTTAGTTCCAAGCATACCTTAAGTAAGGTCTGCCTGTATATGAGTTTATTTTCTAAGAAACGCGTGGGGTTTTTTTAAAGATGGTTACTCTTTGTCGACCAGGAGGCACAGGATACACAGTCTCTGTCTCTCTGCCCAGCCACTAGGTTGCTGGGCTTTGTGTCTGGAAAGGCATGAGCAGGTCACAGCAGTTTTGGGTTGTTGTTCAGCCGAAGGCTGGAATACATTCCCACGTGCCGGACCAGGTTGGGTTCCACCACATAGGCGTTCTCGCCCGTGGTCTGCAGCAGCGAGTAGAGGGCAATGTCCTTCGCAAAGCCGCGGCGACAGCGCAGCTCCTTCAGGTAGCCTAAGGCACGTTGGGCAGATGGGGCGGAGAAGAGCATGGCAGGTGTGCAGCACTCGGTCACTGGCACGATGTTGTACAGCGCGGGTGCCAGCCGGCGCAGCTCCAGCAGGTAGTGCCGTCCCACCAGCTCCGACACAGCCATGCTGTACAGAGCAAAGAACAAGACAATGGGCCAACTGGGGCCGGGGCGCCCCACTGCCCAGGAGTACACACCGCTCAGCACGGGCCCCAGGAACATGCCCAGTCCCAGCCACTCAAGGATTCTCATGGGTTCAGGGTTGAAGTAGTGCTGCAGCCTCTCGGGATGATACAGCTTGAAGTAGAGCGCATCTCTGAGGTATGGCTTGGAGAACCGGGCCAGTAAGAAGTGCTGCAAAACAGCAAATATCTCCTCCTCTGGCACAGCATCATCTTCCACTATGAGGATGTACTCTGGGTTGTACGCCAACAGCGACTGCTCAAGGCAGAAGACGTAGTCCTGCTTCTCCTTCTCAAACAGGTTCACCTTGGGGTCGGGGTTCTCCCCAGTTTTGTCACGACTGACCACAGGAAAGAAGCTGCTCAGCAGCCTGACATCCTGATGGTCACTGGGGTCTGACTCCACGTTACAGAGGAGGAGGCGGTAGCTCCGGCATCGCACACCACATTTCTGGAGAAGGCGGTGGAAACGGGAGGCCACTTGCAAGACGTAGTGGAAATCGTTCTGCCTCTTCACAGTGATAATGGTGACCAGCAGCAAGGGGTGGAAGGCATCGCTACCAGAGGCCTCAGAGGCATTTGGTATCTTGAGCTCCTCAAAGTAATGGAGGGCAGCTTGTCCCTGCTGCTTGCTCTGCTCCAGGAACTCCTGGCTCATGGGGTTCAGGTGCCGGTGACGCAAATAGAAGTAAGAGTGGAGGAGCCGGTGGCAAATCAAAGGTGCAAGCACTCCAAATGTTACCACAGTCAGCGTAAGGAGATGGACAAAAGGATTGGACCAGCGGCACCACCTCCCTTGGTGCAGCATGGCTGCGGCAGGAGGAGAGCACCCCTGCTTTATTTATGCCCCCATTCCTTCACTTCTGGTGCATCCTCCCATGATTGCAAAGTATCGCTGGGGCAGTGGCTGCCAGACCTGCACAGTTTGTCCAAGCCTAGAGAGGAAGACAAAAAGATGGTGAATGAAGGAGGAACTGTCTAGTGGGAAGACCGTAACTTGAGAAAATGAGAGCCCAAGGCTAGTCACTGAGTAAGCCAAAATAAGAGGACCCTGAGGAGTCTCTTGTGATGAGGGCATCACAGAATTGTTGTGTGAGGTTGAGGGAAGGTGAGCCGAACCTAGCTTCCAGCAAAGTGCCCCTAAGACCTTTTCAGCATGTAGGAGCTCTGACCTGACTTAGCTAGACAGGACTTCGTTGGTTTATTACCACAATTCAAACGCGTAACAGGCAGCGCTGACACAAGGCATGTGTAAATCCCTTTCTGCTAATTGCAGAGAACTCAAATAGCCCTATCTGGTCACAGTGACATAGTAAGGCTTGGGTCACAGCCAAGAACCAAAGCCAGATCTCTTCTTTCTTAGCCTAGCACATATTTGAGAGTCAAACTTTTACCTCTGTGGTATGACACATGTTTCCCTGCTGTTGCTCACATGGTTCCAAACGCATGCTTTTTCACTTTACTCCCCAAGAGTATTTTCTTCACTACGGCTTGCATATGCTAAGTGTAATGTCTGTGTGTGTGTGTGTGTCTCTCCTCCTCTCCAGACACTGAGAAACACAGCCATAGAAAGATTAACAAGTTGCAATTGAGCCATTGACTGATATTTGAAAGTTTATAATTTAAAATTATAGGCCTTTAATTTAAAACTGAGACATTTACATTTTATTTTTGTATACACACACAGACTTTAAGCAGATATCCACCTTCACAAAAATTAGATTTTGCCATATTTGGCTTTTCTGCCCTGCTTCTCTGTGGTGCCTTGAACACCTAACAGCCTGACTGTCAGAAGCTCACACAAAATCAGGGCAATCACGATGTCCAGATGAATTCTCTTGTGCCAGTCATTTCCTCTTTCAATCTGCTGTTTCACTCTCCCTTCAATTTTCCATTCCCTATCCTTATGAACTGATATTCATGGCCCAATAGCTGACGGACTGTGCACCATCCAGTGGAGAGCTTCTCCCATTTTTATCTGTCTGCTTTCACCAAATGCTGATCATCAATTGCTGGTCCCAGACCAAAACGTTACCCTTTTGCTTGTTTGCACTGTTGTCTAAAGCAGCCTAAGCAATGATGTGTGGGTGGAAAGAAATAAGGGCCACAGCTTCTCTTCTCTGTCTCAGAAGAATGGTCCACGTAGAAGAAAAAACATGTAGAGGGCACTGAGTGGGGCTGATTCTGGGACTACTTCAAAACTGCCTTCATAACCATAGTCACAGATTTGCTGTATTTATCTGACAACCTTACATGAGAATTTGCAGCATCTTCCAATATAGCTTTTTCTTCTGATTACACAGTCCTGTTTCACTGACACTGCATCGTATTGCAACAGGGGAGCTTGTAAAGGCCCTAAATGTGACAGCTGCATTCCAGCTGCCAGGGCCAAGCCATGATGATTCAATCCACCAGATGCAAAGACCTGGCATTTAAATGCATTTATTCATCCAAAATCCAGGGCTTTTCCTCATTTTCTGCTAGCCAGTCACCAACATTAAGGCAACTCACAGATGCAGAGTCACATTTTACAACTCACACTGGCATACTTTTGAGCTGCCTCTTGATGTGAGCAGCGTTGTTGGCACTGCCACTGAGCCAGCCTCCCAGCTGGAAAGTGACTGAAAAGGAGATGAAGAAAAGATAGAAGGTACTTTAGTTCTTGGGGAGTAGAGAAACTTACTTTCCATCTGCCAGATATGCTGGGGATCTGAGCTACAAAAACAACGAGCCTGCAGTGAGGTCTGTGGCTCTCGAATATTCACTGAAGCATTAATAACCCCTGTCCAAACACGAGACCTCCTCCTGCACATCATCTTCTGCTGAAAAGGGCGCAATAAGTGCCAAGTGCTCCCGGCAGCAGCAGGCACAGCTGGCCACCGGCTGCAGCCCCACGACGCGGGAAGCTTGCCTGAGGTCCTGTTCTATTGCAGCCCGTGTGGCTGGAGGGTCAGCACCACCTGCAGCATAAGCTCCCCGCCGTGTCCCTGCGGGGGACTGGCTGCCAGCCC